AACACCGAGACCGATAACCGATAATAATATAATATATATATATATGAAATGTACCTGTAGTTTTTTGCACACCTGGTGGTAAAAAAGACTAGTAGTGAGCAAGTGACATGAGCATTACTACTATGAACAAAACAAAGCCAAGAACAGTTTCAAAAGCCTCGTCGATAGGTAAAAGCCCCGGTGCCTTTGCAGCTGGCTTTGGATTCGCCGCTAGTTTAGCAGCGCAGGCGTCTTCGTACGCTTTTAACACACCATCGTAACGATGCCGATGTTTCAGGTGACTAATCAGGTTGGAAGTATTATAGCTTGTTGCCTTTTTCCCTCCTCGTGGAACTTCTGCATTGCATTTGTTAATACAAATAGCAAGCGAACTATCTAACTCTGAAACTTTGAAATAGTCCCATACTACCGACGACATGTTTGTTTACTGTCCTGGCTTCACGGCCGCACATCATTTACGTCACAGCCAGGCATGAGTTACGGCCCGTCTACACTACAGGCATCGAAAAATGCTTTCAACGCTTCGCCCATTCACTTGAATGGGGTGACGTAGAAGATTTTTAATCTTCGCTGAACTGCATTGTGGGGAGCATGGCATGGCTTTGCAAGCACCACGAGCATCTATCGGCTCAAAAGTTGAACAATGTTCAACTTTTGTGGCATCAGCCAATCAAATCCCGTTTATGCAAATCCCGCCAGTGCAAGCGCTAGCCAATCAAACCGCGTGCAAGCTGGGAGAGCCAGACCGCAGTTCATTTCCTCATATTCCAAACGAAATATTACGGTAGCAAATCACCCGGTTCTTTACGACCAGAACTATTTACCGGGATACAAACCGGAGGAACCAGGCATGGAGGGAGGTGGCAGAGACAGTGGGTGAAACTGGTAGGTTTTTCGCCTGTTTGGAGAGTTTATATCCAGTTTACTCCGTTTTAACATTGCTATTGCTTTGTATGTCGGTGGCGGGAGATTCATGTGATTGGTTGTTGGTCGCAAAAAATCGCCAAGCTTCAGACACGCCCAGCTTCAACATTTTTTGATGCCTGTAGTGTAGACGGGCCGTTAGGGAGCGCTGGATTTGTGAAAAACTCCCCTCTTCCTAAACCACTAATACCACAGTACTGGCAAAACGGGAGGAGCCGAGTGAAAAACAAGCGCCCCTCATCCCAATCCACCCACACTGTAGTATTTTATTATTTTTTTTTACCCAAAAAATATATTGTATATTATCGGGGCTATTAATACTTTTATCGGGTTTATCGGGATGACGTCATAATTCCTAATATCGGACCGATAATTATCGTGCACCACTACTCGTTTTATATATTTCTGAATGCTTTTTAATTTTCCCAAGTTGACCCACCCTGATGCGAAGGAGAAACCTTTGCTGGTGTTTAGCTCTGCGGTGCTAGCAGGAGCCACTGGAGCCTCTGTTTTGGATGATTGACCTGAGAGAGACAACATTATTAAGTAAATAAAAATCTATCAGATAAGGTGTAAAATTGTACATATTGTTAATAACTACAAGCAGTGATCTTTAAAGTATTTCATGAATTCATAGAAAACAAATCTGGGCAGTAATGATGACGAATCGTGTGTATACTATGCATGATGTCCAGGCGGTGCTTACCAAACACAAAGCTCGACTGTGGGTTGATTTCATTGGACATCTTCTGGAAACCTTGGCTAGGATTCTGCACAGACAGGACATACATTGAGTATTGTGCAAAACCATAATGCAGAATAACATTTAATACCATTATGTGTATGCAAACAAAGTGCTACATGTCACAGCACAGGCTTGAGTATGTTTGGGTCATTCCCATTCAGTTGAACTTGAGCCTGAACAGCGACCGAGATTTGTCCAAGGAGTTCCCTTGTCACCTAACTGCCATTTGTAACATCAACATGGGAGGGAGCTGGGACATTTCTCACCAGTGCTGTTAATGGTCTGTCTTCCAATGCAAATCTTTCAGCCAGCTGTGAAATCTCGCAAGTTGAATGTTCTTTAAAATTGCACGGAGAGGGACTCGAATACTGAGTTTAATGTTTGTGTATTTAAGTAAAAGCATGTATATGGATAAAATCATATGTATGGGTGACTGCGCTATAAACTTGGACATTTCCACATCTACTGACATCATTTTCACATGATTCATCAATGTTTGATTGATTCTTAAAAAATAAGACTTGAGCCTTTCAAAAATATTTGTATTATAGTAATATAACTGTTTGATTTGACAAGAGAAAGGTAAAGCTTGGTGAGTGATGGATACTAGGTTTTGTACTTACTCGTTTGGCCTGGTGAGACGAAACTGTTGAAAAGACTGAAGCTCCTGAGTCTCCTGCTGATGAGCTGAGGAAGAGATCAAAAGGAGAAAAAGGGTAAGGTGTTTGTTTTCCATATGAAACATTACAGTTTATTTACAATTAAGGTGTACATTTCAGCAAAATGTTCACAACGAAGAATTCTTAAATTGTTGGGGAACGCATATTTTGTAATTATTTTGTTTAGGTAAAAGAAGATACTTCAAGCTGGTAATCATTTGAAGAAAAAGGTGTAAAGTATTTTGGTACTATCAAATAAAAAAGGTATATTCGTGCAAAATCGAGGCCAAATGCCATTATGATTTTACTCTCACAATGCCTTGCTTGGTTTGTTTGTTTTTTTAAGCTGGCTTTATCTGGAAAAAAAAAAGCCTCAAGGAGGGAAGGCCTGTGAAATATCAAGCAAAAAAAGTGGAGCACAGCCCAGTGAAGCAGAAAGAGTGAAGTGCAAGAGACTGGAAGGGGGAAAACAAGAGACTGTGAATCATGGAATGAATAAAGAGCTTAAGCACTTTGAGCACCAGGAAAAGCGCTTTATAAATGTAATGTATTATTATTATTAATAAAAGACATGAAGAAAGCAAAGTGAGGGGGGTAATGAAAAAAAAAAGAGACAATCCAGTCTAAATATTCAAACTGCTGTGTTTTCAACTATTTCTCCAACAAATTGTTTTTTTAAATTAATCAGTAAAAAATAAGGTTATAGTCAGCATTGACTTTCATCTGACCTTTTTTTTTTTTACCAGCCCTAGCTCTACAATAAAAGACTGCTGGCATCTGCCAGTTGTGTGCACTGGCTAAGATTAGGTGGAGTCAGTGACCTGATAAATCGGGGCCAGGGAGACACACTCTAAACAAACACCGGACCCTCGAGGACTCGCAGTGACAGACACAGGCTACGAGACACAGTGTCTACTCACTGAATCAGAAATAGATCCGAGTGGATTCTGGCATGATTTGATGCTATATATACAGTACATAAGATGTTAATTAGACAGGAAATATAGTATGACGGACTATATGTGACCTGTGCCAAATTTGATTTGATCCCAATTCAAATAAAAATGCATGAAAATAACAAAGGACGTCTCCTGAGATTGAAGCTTTGAAGATCTTTACTACAACTGTTATTCTTGGTCCAAAAGTTCCCCTGTATTTAAACAAACTGTCGCTTAACCCTGTAAAGCCCAAATATAGGAAAACATTTGAACTTAATTTTTTTGAACTTTCAGATGTTGTTGTAGGGAGCCTCTGGAGCAGAAATTAAAGAGTTTTCACATTGTTTACGTTTTGATAAGTTTTTAGGGAAATGTTGTAATATTGCAACGTTGGGCTTAGGCGGGAGCAGAATTTCTGTATTTCTACTCACATTAGAGGTTTCTCTATACTCTAATTTCCCCTCCTCGGTCCTTCGGTTGTGACCCGGAAATGGATTTCAGCGCGCCATGTTGAAGGACATCTAATTTCTCTAAATGCATATCGAGGACCGAGCATCGAGCATCGAGGAGGCTCTCTGGAGGAGCTCTAACCGAGGAGACACTGATGGGTCCTCCACGGCTCCTCCACGGATGCATTTCCGGGAACGGTGGAAGCGTTACGCACGGCCGGACTTATCTCAGCCAGTGACAGCTCTGCATGCATCCCCTGGATATTATTTTAGTAACCGCTTGAACGGCGACGCGATGCTTACATTCAGAACAGCTGTGAGGTCTGTGCAGAAAGCAGAGCAGTGTGTAAAATATATATCACTCAGTATAACAGGCCTACATTACTCTCTGTATTTGTATGCTGAAGTTTAGTAGATATCTACAAACAAAGAGTCGATATTTTTCTAAGACCATTTAGTGCTTCACATAATAAAATACACAACGGCTGTAGCCTGATTATGCTTTAGAGCTGTAGGTGTGTGTGGTACAGTGTGTAGGTGTGTGTGTTGTACAATGCGTAGATGCGGCAGACAGACGGGTCTCAGTCGGTTTGGTCTACTATGCTTACTTTTAATACTTGTTAATACAACTTTTGGCCCGTAATTTCAATTCCCCATTTCAGCGACCAGAGAGAGGGGGGGGGATATATATATCCAGTCTGATTGTGTTAAGTATGAGAGCACTCTCATAATAACGTGTTTGATTCTGAAATTGTTTATATTTATATAAATATATTGTGTATATGTCCGCATCTGTAGCCTGTTATTGTCTCATTATACCGCACTGTCAATTAATTAAAAGTAAATATATAAGTCGTCATGAACACATCTGTGATCTGTCCATCAGACAGAGGAGAGGGCTGCTGTGCCTCCTGTCAAGGAGGGGAAATTAGAGTATTGAGAAACCTCTATAGTCTGAATAAATATATTGAACAACTAAGAGTTGATTTGCAGGA